AAAAGAGAAGAGAAAGGGAGGGAGGGAGGGAAACCTTCCTGTGTGTCCGCTGTGCACCTCCCTCTTCGAGCATCCTTATTATGGCTCCGGGACTTGCCCAAACCTTCCTCCCCAAACCACACACCCACAGAGTCTGGAGCAGGGCCCGAGTTTCCCCGGCTCCTCAGGTGTGTCAGCATCTCACATCCCTCCCTGTCTCCCTGCTGCCAACCAGTTCCACCAGCAAGCACCTCTGCCCCAATTCCACCTCCCACGCCTGCTGCCGCACCTTGGACTTGTTTTCCTGAAATTGCATGCCATCCGCTCTCCCTTCTACTTCTGCTGCGTCCCTCTTGCCCTTTCAGGACCTGTGGACTCGGGACTCCTGGACTTTCTTCCCCACCTCTTTTCCCCGCTGGGTCTCACTACCATTTCAGCCACTTTCCTGGCAGCTTCACTCCTGCCCTGAGACCCCAGCCTCCACCCTCCTGGTCCTGCCAACTGTTGAGTGCAGAAAGATCACAGAGCTCCAAGGATTCGAAGCTCAATGATTTCAGGGGCTCACTGAGGTTTCCCTGCTCTGCCTAGAAATCCTTCCTGTGTCCTGGCCACACTCGCCTCCCAGGCGCCACCACAGCTAGTCCAGAAATTCCCTTCCCTCATAAGAACTCACTTCCTCTCCTCCCCTGTCCCTCCCAGCTTATTGCTTTATGTCCCAGCTAGAATTGAGGCCACAGGCAGCCGTTCTTCCTCCTACAGTCAGACACTGAAATGGCCACCGTTAGCGCCTTCCTCTAGTCTAAGAGGAAGCAGGGTCCCTCCTACCTAAAGGGTTACCACAGTTCTTCCCTCTCCACATATAAGGCGCTCAAGCTTCCTCTATATGGAAATAATAGTCTCAACGACAAGAAGTCATCATCTACACTAGAGTCCGACCTGCCTGCCCATGACCTTCCCTCCCTTTGCAGACAAACCTAAAAGAACATCTGTGCTCCGTATAATGCCTTCCTCTCCCCAGGCCTCACTCCACTGCATTCTGACTGCTTTTTATAACCCAGGCCCTTCTTTACTCCATGTTCTTTATCTTTTTTTTTTTTTT